TTGGATAATTTCAATGACATTTCAACTATTTTAACAAAACTTACCCTGTAGAAGTCAAAATGTATTGGTTATTCTTATTTCGTTTGATATTTCCTCTCTGGAAATGAATATCCTCTCTGTGTCGATCTGCTGGAAGCTGGGAAATATAAATTATATGTTGTGTCCCCACCCAAGGAAACACAACTCCCTCACTGATGAAAATGAAGCACTTCTCATATGTATGAATCTCTCTGTATATAAGGGTAGCATCTTGTTTCTGTACCTTTTCTTATTCTGTCCAGCTCTCTTTTGTGACAATTATTATTAACAAGCATGAAGTATACCAGGAAAAATAAGCCTTTGAAACCCTTCTGTATGGCACCTGCCTTCATAGTGACCTTTTAGTCTTTAGTACGGCATTTGACTCTCATATTAAATCAAAGCAAAAGATATTATAACCTCAAATCATTTTCTGTCTACCCGAGCATACCTAATACAGTCAAACACGCTCAAATGGCCACTTGCCCAAGACATTCACCTGCACAAACAGCCATTTCTTATGTTTCCCTATTAATTTTTTTTCTCTAATAAAATAACACTTTTCAGGATGTCCATCGGCCTAAGACAACCACTTTTCTTCTCAACTGTTTCTACTCTATTATTAATTCCTATTTGTATTGTTTCAGTCTCTGGGACACCCATGCATCAGTGATCAAAAGTGCAAAGTTAAGGAACTGACTCCTGAAGACTTCATGTTGTTATTCAAGCTGTGATTCAACATTTTTTTCGCCTATTGTGACTGACTCAAAGTGTTACAAGAGTGTGATCTCATTTTTTGACATAATTTTATTTGATGTACGACATGGGTATATGATTGAAGTACTTATAATCCTTTTGATTCCTTTCACAATTGTGTCATTATATTATAATGACACAATTGTGAAAGGAATCAAAAGGATTTTTTAAATATTCACTTTGTCTCATACTCAGGTTCACATAATCGTGAAGGGGAGAAAGGCGTTGTATATGTATTTTCTGTACTCAGATTTTTGTTTTGTTTACAGTTCTAATAATTTATTTAGACCCATTATTTTTGTGGCAGGTATAAATTGCTGTTTTTATATTGGAATTGAATAAGCGATGGTGGCTCTTTGTACTTGTGTTTTAATATTTGTTAAGAAAGCAGACTACTTTTGTATATCAATTTTGATCTGCTATTTTGGCCGTTATTTTTCCCAAACAGTTTATGACAGAAAAATGTAGATTGCAATTTTTTTAAAAATCAGGCTCTGTTATTGTAACTATTCAGTTGACATAAAATCTTTTGTTTTCACTAGAAAAAGAGAAGAACCATACTTCATTCTAATCTTCATGACTGTAAATGTAACTTGTTTAAAGAATTGTTAAACTAAAAAAAACCTGATTTACAGACAGTGGTTTATTTCTGTTTGTTTGACAGTTACTCCAAGTTCTTGATACAATTTGAATGGCTACTGATATTTTCTTGAAAGTATACTTTTTGTTTTAAAAGATGGACTACCAGAAAGGAAGAACACCTTTGAAACGATTTCAGATTGTGCCATAAGAAATTGATGTATTCTTGTCTATTTTACAGCCTTTATACTGTAGATTGTTAACAGTATTGTTTTTATTGTTTCGGTATTGACTTAAAAGACTTTTTAAGTGTCAAAGGAAATTCGAACAAAAAAAAATCGAGTACAAAATATCTGAGTAGTTCGTTTGTTATTGTTATAGAGCAGAAAATTGTTCTTCCAATAGATATGCCCAATGTAAAATTAGCTGTTTTCTGATCAAATCCTCTGACTGTTTTTTAATTAATTTTTTTTTTACTCCCATATTGTCAGTGAGGGAAATAAGGGATAATGTGAAAATTCTAATCACATCCAACTCAGGGTATTTTGCAGGTTATGTAAAAATAGCTATGTGAAGGTGAATATTTACAATTCAACGTTTAATATTTTCAGTTGCCAATTTGGAGTTCAGTTCTGAAGAGTAAAATGCAAATAATATATGCTCTTTAACACACAGACTCATGCATTTAGACAACATTGTCCACCTCCATTTTAACTCATTCTACACCAAACACTGACCTGTGTAGTTTCCATGTCTCCAATCTGACCAAACATGGATGTGTCAGTGTTTTAGAGTGGCTTTGATATTAACGTTCCTTCACAGCATGTCCCTTTGATAATTCAACAATTTTAAGACATATTTCAAAACTTCAGTGAAGTCTCTTAAACTGAAAAAAGTTAACCCAAAAGCCATGATGAACTGATAGAAAACAAAATCCCCCAATTTTACTTTCTTCTGTTTGAGCACAAAAATAAAGTTAGTGTATGATTCATAGATATCATTCAACTTGTGCACTAGTTTAGCAGTTTTTATTTATTTTTGTATTGTTACTTCTTATGTAAGTTGCCCAACAAAAAAGAATTCTAGTTTTCAGTTCATCTCATTTTAAAGTTTCTTTGCGATATTGTGACTTTGTAATAATTTACAGCTTTTACAAAAATTTGGCTGGGTAAGAAAAAGGAGAAATTTGTAAATGACAAGTGTTGCCAATCTACAACTAATATTGCATCATGTGATAAGTGAAATGACTGTGAATGTAACCTGGTATGTATCACTTTGATTTTGAACTGCCTCATATCAAGTAAAGAATATTTTTGATAGTGAAATTTTTTAAGACGTGTTGTATGCATATAATATGTCATTTAGAAATTTTTTAAAAATTGACAATACTTAATAATCTGTGCGGAACAGAACCAAATTGAAATGAGGTATTCATTATTGATTGATTTTTTATCTACATGTCTTCTAAAAGTAGAATCTCAAAATATGATCATATTTTTTTGTCAATAACATATACTTGACAACTGCATGTACCTTGAATAACATCTATATCATGTAATGTACTTATTAGATGATAAACCCATACAGCTTTTTTTGTTATTGTGATCTAAGGTTGAAATAAGAATGAAAAGCGGATTAATTTTGCCATGTCCTTGTTACAAGAAAAATGAGGAGCTCCAAATTTTTCTCCTCACACTATAAAGCGGGTACGATTGGAGTTTATAAGCATTCTTCTTTTGACAGTGATGGATTGTCTTTTAGATGTGGAGCACATAGATTCTGATCTAGACCCTAGTCTGAAAAGAAAAATATTGCAGGAAAGGCACCTCCTGAACTTAAACACTATGCCCCCACTGGACACCGATCGGCGACGTTAAGAAGCCGTCCCTTTTCCCAACTGGACGCCAATCGGCGACAGTGTGATATAGCATGTACCGCACCTGTATCCTGGTTCATGGGGATAAGTGTTGCCCGCTCCGGGTGGAAAGTGTTAACATTTCTGGAAAAATTTTTAAATTTTGTAAACCACAAGGCCACATCAGTCAGCACTTATGATGAGAGTATGGTTTCTTTTACAAAGTGTCCACAGCAGTAATCTCAGGATGAATGTCTTGGTAGCCATTCAAAAGTGAAGTGAGTGGGGTGGTTTTTTAGAAAATAGTCACAGAACTCTAGTCACAGAGAATAACTGTTTTTTTTTCTCCTCCATTTTGTTCTTGATGCCAAGTATAATGATTAGCAAAGCAAAGATTTGAATTGACTTTGTCATAGAGATCTCCAGTTCTGTTATTGACAACTTGGTTCAGTATTTTTTCTCATTCAAATATTGGTTCACAGCCACATCATTTACACATAGCAACATATTTTGAAGCTTTTATTGTTGTGTGTTGTGGCATTTTTTATATTTCAAAGCATTATACATGAGCTTTCAGTTTTATTAACCTTTATGTACAAAGGAACATTTAACAATTTTGATTCTTTTGAATAAGGTGTTTTCAGTACAGACAACTTTGTTTGTGAGCATTCATGACTAGAGAGAAAGTACCGGTACTATAATATGATTGATGTTACATGTCGTACTCACCTGTGATTTCAAGGTCAGGAAGAAGTTTGCGGCTGGTGAGAACTGTTGGCATTCCTCAAGTGGATTCTGATTTGTGATGACATATGTAATGTCATGTTGTTCCCTGGGACTCAAGAAAATGATGTATGTGTTGTATATGTTTTGGCTGTGCATTATTTTTAGTCATGAAATACCGTAAGGTGATGAAGATTTACGTATTATGTCAGAGGTAAAGAAAAAAACTGTGGTCTGTTTCCTGTTGATGCGATAACGTGCAAGCACTATCTTATTGTAGAAAGTTGATTTTATGTTTGAATGTTTGCATTCAGTGGGGATGTTCAAGTACATGCTGTGTACTTTCATGTAAGATTTTAAGTCATGATAATCAAGAACTTACTGGAAGGGTTTTTATCTTAAAACATGCCTGAGATAGAATGCATCGTTTCCTTTAAAGTTTTAATGTTCAATAGATTTTGTCTCACTTAATGAAACCTTTTTGTACTTCAGTACAACTGCCATTTTAAAGACCTGTGACTCCTTAGTTTTATACTTCTTATGTGTTGCAACGTGGTGTAATCAGGCTCTCGTCAATCTTTGGACATGTTGAGATGTTGGTGTCATTTTAAAGTTTGTACATTTGCTTTTCTTTCTATTAAAAAAAAATACTCGCCTATCTTAAACAGAAGTCAAGATATTTGAGATTGAATGGGCTGGGGTCACCCGGTTTCTGAGATAAAATTTGCTAGAAAATTGCTGCCAAAGTTTGGTGACTTGGATAGCGTGAGAGTCCTTTGTAAGTGAAAATTTACATTTTTTTGTGTTTTTAATGTTTTTTAGTAAAATCCTCTAGAAATGTGTATTTAAATGGACTTTAAAAGTGTAGAGTCAAAAAACAAAAACGATAACAATTGTCAAAGCAAAGGAGAAATGCCATTTGTTTTTTGTTTTTTCGATTTAATTCTGTTTTAACATGTGCCTGATTTCACCACGATGCTTCCCATATATACAGTCGAAACTGTCTAATTGGCCACCCATTTTTGAGGAGAAAAGTGACCATCTTAGATGGGTGGCTATAGTACACAGTGTCAGACTAATGTAAAAACTGCACAAGGGAAGTGACTGTTTCTACAAATGACTCTAATATACATGTGGCCATTAGAGCAGGGTTGACTGTCATTGCTCTTATTTCTACTGCCCTAACTATCGCCAAGTCCAAAACGTAGGTATTTTGAAGTTTCTTTTTATCAATGCTATGGAGATTAGTGATTCAGTCCTTTAGTTTTTGATGAGCAGTGACACGTGATTCTACTATTATGTGTTTTTATGAATCAGATAAACCATGTTTGGGGTGATGAATCATTCTAAGTCAGTAATTTTACAGTGGCTGTAATACCTTGTACATATTACATTGTGTACTATGGCACTATACTTGATGAACTTGGTGGCAGTAATATATCGCTACCTCGGAATTATAAAGTTTTATGTGCTCAATACCTAGTTTTGAGAAATTTGACATTAAAACTTTTTAGTTTCACAACATGTCAAGCTTTTTAAAATAAAATTCTTTGAATATCTTCATATCAACTCCGAATATTCTTACGATTTTGGTAGAACAGATAGAACATTTGCTTTCTGACCTCACTGTCTTAGTAACTCAAATGACCAAAAATGTCAGATAGAACTTTGTAATTCTGAGGTAACGATGTGTTACAGAATTCTGCTTACTTTTGATATAAGATCAGCTTGGGTGATGGAATGTGAGTCATGCGCTGTTGTATAATTTGTACATAGAATGTTGTTTTGCCAGTAAAGTCGAATTTTTTACGAAAGTTAACTAATGGTGGGTTTTTTTCTTAAAGTGCATGCTCTTCGGTATTTATCTTTGTCGAGATAACAACAAATAACAATTTTTAACAACAAATAACAACTGATAACAACTGATATAACAATTGATAACAACAAATTAATGACAAATATCAACTCAAACGGCCTAATTTAGTTGCTTTTACTTGGTTTTAGGTAGTCTACATTGGTACAACAACTGATCAGCAGAAGTAGCCTCTGGTAAGCAGCGCTGTTCACAGACGCTACTGCATTTTGTTAAGCACAGGAGTCTTGGATGCCCCACCAGGACAGTGCTACTGATTGAAGTGTCTTAACCATTCCCAAAGGGGGGATATTAATATTTAATATGTTCTTATGCTCAGTAGAATTGTAAATGGGCTGATTTATCAATGTCATGCTCATACTGTGCCGGAACAACATACGGGGAACTGCTGCTTTTTCGTTCATCATTCTTACTATCGTCATTTTCCTCTACTTCTTTTGTATGTTTGTCACTTTCTTGTGAACTGCTATTTCCGGGGTGCCTTGATAGTCGAAGCAGACTTTGTGCTATTGAGGCTAGAGAGGTGAGCAGAGTAAACCGGATTCCCGGTTTAGACTTCTTTGTTGACATCCATCCCTTGGCGCTCATATGACCTTATGCAGCAGTTGCGAGCGCCGTAAAACATTACTAAACTAAGTCATGGATTTTCGAGATGTACCTGGATTTTCTTTTTCTTTTGACTTTATGCTTCTCATTTTACTTTTCTTTCATCGTCGCATCTCTAGTTAGTTAACTCGCACCTTTATGTATAATTCGTCTCCACATATCACGCTTTTTGTACAAGATCTTTTCACTTGTGTGGGACAATGCTGCATGCCTTTATTGTGTCTTTGTTGTAGTTCTTGAATCACGACACAGCTTTGGTCTTTCTCTACTTCGCTTTCCTTCCTACAATTCTCCACACAGTTCATACGGAGCATAACATCAACAAAAATAACAAGGTCAAACAGATCAATAGATTTCCTTGCAAATAGGTTGGCTTCTCTCTCTCTCTCTCTCTCTCTCTCTCTCTCTCTCTCTCTCTCTCTCTCT